TGTAAGTAAAAACAGCAAGAGCTATTTAACACACACACACACACACACACCCTATAATAAATTTGACCTCAGCTGAAGTCCTGTATTATAATATGATTACACACAAACCTGTGTACACGCACATACATGCCTTACATATACCTGCATGCAGGTAGGATCAATGCCTTATAACTTAAGAGGCAGTGAAATGGGAGAAAAGGCATCAATTCGCTTGTCCTTTCAAAGTAAAAAAAAAAAAAATTCATTCTTATGACTTTGGAGTAAGCAAAATATTGAATGTTGCCATGACTTCCTCCCAGCACCTTTGTTAGGAAGAACTTACCTCCAAAGTCTGTTGCTTCTCTCTCTGCACAACCCTTTCCTTCTCTCCTGCCCAGCATCCCGTAGGACGTGGTCCTCTTCTCTCTGGGATGTCCATGCCACAGGTTTCTGTTCAGTCTGTCCGTGGCCCTTTATTGGCTGGCACCTGCTGGCTCCTTCACCTCCACCTGCATCCTGCCCAGGCCTGCAGCCGCTCTCGCCTGTGCAGTCCCCAATCCTGGATCGCACCCCTGCCCCTACCTGCTGTTTCCAGCCGCCACTGGGCCCTGAACACTGCTGGAGAAAGACAGGTATGTGTGGGTGGTCAGGAAATAAGCCTGTTCTAAGGAGGAGGAGAATAAGAGAGCAGCGCTTCCTTCCAAAGAGCACAAATACAATTGGGCAAAGTAAAAGGAACCCACACGCAGACTTATTATGGTGGCTCTGCTGAACATGGAAGACAAAGGGAGGATCACAACAGCAGCCAGAGAGAAAAGGTGGCTCCACCTGTGCAAGGAGCCCGAGGGCTACTTCTCGGCAGCAGTGTCTGCTCAGAAGCAGACCTCCACCTGCCGCTGCGGGTCAGCAAAGGCAGACTCCTTAATGAGCGGTGCAGGGACAATTGGTTAATCATATTTTAAATGGCGAAACTGGACTCCTGCTTTGTACCGGACACAAACATCAAGTTTAGGTGGGATACAGGCTTAAATACGAAAGACAAAATGATGAAACATTTAGAAGACCACGCAGGCTGCTTGTCGACATTGGAGTAGGGAAACGTACAAAAGTTGAAACCGTGAAGGACTTTACTCACAATCCAGGCATTCCATTCACCAGAGCACACTGAAGAGGGTGGAAAGACAGGGAACACGGCTGAGAGAAGATAATTATGACGTGTGTAACAGACAATAGTATCAGAATATAGAAAAAATTAAAAAGAATGGGGCAAGAGGAGGAGGGGGGGAGGAAAGCAGAAAAGGAAACGTTCAAAAAACATGAGCAAGTGTTTCACAGAAGAAGAAAAATGTTCCCCGCATAAACATAAGAACAGAAACTCTGCCTCGTTACTGCTGAGGGAGACATGAATGAAAACCCCAATGAGATACAATTTCACAGTCAGCAGATCAGTGTTTCCTGACTTTCAAAATTTTTGCCAGATATTCATGAGGATATGGAGTGTTAGGAAGAGTTATCCACAAAGAGAGGGAGTGTAACCTCTTTGTACTTTGGAAAACAGTTTAAAGATCCCCAGTAAAGTCAAACGTGTGCAAAGCTCACCACCAGATATGCCCAGGGAAACGCGTGTCTGTCTGGTGGGGTTCGTGTGCAAAAGAACATCATAGCAGCATTATAAGAGCAAAAGGAAGGGTCAGGATTAAAAAAACCCAAACGTCCATCTATAGGAGGAAGGATGTGCACATTGTTTATATAATAAAATACCATATAGCAGTGAAAATGTATGGACTACAGCTACCCACAACCACATGTGTGAATCTAGCAGATATAAGATTAGCTAAAAGGAACCAGTCCAGTCAATAGAAGAATGGACAAAATATGAGGCCATTTTGATAAGGTTCAAACCCAGGCAGAACTAAACAGGGCATTGCTTAGGAATGTGTACACTGGGAATAAAGCTATAAAAGAAATTAAGATCACGATTGACAGAAAATTCAGGATAATGGTTCTCTCTCGAGGAATGAAGAAAATGTAATAATGACTTTGGAGTGAGATGAATGGACTGAGCCTGTCTCTCCTTTGTCCCCCAAATTCCTGTGTTGAAGTCTTAAGCCCCAGTACCTTTGAATGTGACTGTACTCGGAGAGAGACCCTTTAAAGAGGTAACTAAGGAGAAATGAGGTCGTATGGGTAGCCCCTGGTCCGATGATGGCTGGTGCGTCATAAGAAGAGATGAGGACACAGACTGAGAGAGGCCGTGTGAGGACATGGCAGGAAGGCGGCCGTCTGCAAGCCAAGGGGAGAGGCCTCAGAAGAAACCAACCCTGCCAACAACTTGATCTTGGATTTTCCAGCCTCCAGAACTGTGAGAAAATTAATGTCTGTTATTGAAGCCACCAAGCCTGCAGTGATTTGTTATGACAACCCTAGCGAACTAACACAGGGGCTTCTAAGATTCTGATGATATTCTGCATTTTCGGCTGGGGTGGTTATCTTATTGTTTTTCAAATTGTACTTATACATTTTCTATGCTCTTTTGGATGCGCTTTCCCAATTAAAAAAAAAATAGAATTTCATTTCTGGCCTATTGACTAGCATTTAGTTGTTTTTCTCAGCAAATGCAGTTAACTTTAAGCATTCAACGAAAGATGCCTGTTCCGTTAGGGTAATCGATACATCATTTCTGAGAAAAGGAATACTGCATCTCACCAGGACTGCTTCGTGGTCTCCAATGGACAACAATCAAAAGAAAGTGGAAAGAACACATGCTGTCAAACTAAGAAGTCTCAGGCAATTAGAGTCTTGAAGTAAAATAGCTGTTTTCTCTTCTCTGACCGTTCATAACTCAACTGGAATGCTTAAAGGTCTCCTTGCTTCCCTGGAGGAAGGCGTACTCTTTGAGAGATGCTGGCATTGGAATGTTAGAACAGCTCTTGTGGGTACTTGCTGTGGAATTAGTACAAATGTTAACATTTAAACCAGCTCAGGTCTTTGGGGGAGCAAAGATGCCACAAATAATTTATTTTTATCCACAAATACAATCGTCAGGATTTCTCTTTAAGATAGTGATATGTGTGTTGGTATCTCAGGCAAACACAATCTGTAACTAAAGTGACTAAGCTATTTATATATACACATGTATAAAACAACAAGTTATATACACAAACATACATATGGTATTTGGACACATTTTGACAGAATACTGAGACATATTTTCTAATTATTTTATAAACATAACTAATCTTATTTTTCAAAGATGTAATTAATGAATACATATTGCAAACCCTGGAGGGAACATTATGTAAGTGTTTGTAATTAAATCCAAGTGTCAGCAAGTATAAGTAAATATGGACAAAAGTCCATGTGACAGACCCAAAAGAAAATACCTGTACAGGGCTTACAAACACTTTTGCACACTATATTAAAAAGAAGTAATGTGTGTTTAATATCACATATGATCGAATAGTAATATTATAAAAGTTCAGCAAATACTCAGAAATCCATACAATTCTTATAAGTGCCAGACTGTGTCAAAATATATAAATTAAGAAGTGTGTTTGTGTAGTCTTTTGCTGGAATGAATCTATTACAAACGAAACCTATTTAGAACCAGAAAATATGCATTAAGAATTTCGTGTGTATGGAAAACTTACCAGTTTAATTCTCAAGCTTATGTGGCTATTTAAAATGATATCATCCATCAGTTAAAATTGACACAGAGCCTCCTTAAAGCACATGTGAAACAAACCTCTGGTTTGCATCCAATTTTACCTCCTGAGGGTACCAATATTTAAAATCGTCTATTACTCAAGAAGCAATGGGATGATGCAAGTTCTAGGTATTTATCCCTAACTTGAAGCTGTAAAAAAAAAACAACTTTCCATTAAGATGGAAATGTTCTATAACTGACCTGTCCTGTCCAGTAGTGGGAGCCACTAGCCTCCTACAGCTCCTGAGCCTTGAAATGTGCCCAGTGTGACCAATGAACTAATTTTTAAGTTTTATTTCATTTTAGTTAGTTTAAATTTAAATAGACATATGTGGCTAATGACTACCATAGTAGACATAAGAAAACTACAAGAACATTTGCAAAGGGCTGCCGTACAATTAAATTGACTAGCATTTTAGACTTTGATTCTCCCCCGATAATATGGCATTAGTTTGGTGCATGTTTTGCCTTTTTCCCCAAAACTCCCGTGACCTTCAGTTGTTGTGGGTTTTGTTTCAATTTTGTTTCATTTTAACTAATTATTTTCATTGGATATTTGGAACCTACAGTCCATGTTCTCTTAAAGTGTCATGTATGTAGGTAGTTGGTCCAGGGTATAGCTGAAACACTAAGTTGTTGAAGGGTTTCTTGAACTCTGGAATTATAACAGTACCTTTCAAATACGGAATACTAGAAAACCATGTGTAAACTTCTCATTCTCATAGCGCTTGCGTCATCGTAAACCCAAAAGAACTCACAGAGCAAAAGCAGAAAAGGAAAAAAAAAAAAAAAAAAAACCCCTAATACGAGTGAAGGAAACGGTAATTAATGTGCTGATGGTGTCCCAACAGACCAGTCTCCACGTGCAGGGCTCCTGCCTCGCTGACTGGTGCCAAGTAGGTGCCTTTGAGTTTGTGGCACCTGTTCCCTGGGGTGACCCAATTCTCCCTCCACTTTTCTCTTTTTAAGCTGCTAAGAAGCCTTCATTGATACACTGGGCCGGCATTACATTTGGCCCGTCCTTAGGTTGACTGTATCGTTTATGACTTGAAGGAGTTGAGGGGTGGAGGAGGAGAGGGTGGGGTCAGCAGGGTCCCCAGGGTATGTGGCCGAAGGAGTGGAATGCTGGGGCCACATCCACGTCCCCTGGGGGGGGGTTGTGTCTACCAACTCTTGCCCGGGGCTCCTGTGCTTGGAGTCTCACACTGTTGCCAAGAAGAAAATGTAGTTTTCTCTCCATCTGTCAAGTATGTACGTGGAACGTGTTCAGATGTTGGCAGGTCAACCTCAAATGCTTTTCTTGCTTACCTTTCAGAATCATCCACAAGTGCTGAATGTTCGAATACAACTGGAAAGCAAAGAACTGATCATAAACCTGGAAAGAAATGAGTAAGTCAAGTAAATTCTTGTTTGTCGCATGATAGAAGAAAGTTGAGACAACGTGGAAAGAAAAGTGCGTGCGACTTATGTTGGTGTTTAGAGAGCCAGAGCTAAATGCATGGATTTGGAATCCGAATTTGGATTTGAGGCTGGAATTAACTTCAAAAAATTATCCAGTAAGGGGAAAAAAAAAAAGAATTTTATTATTCTAAAAAGGGACTTTATAACTCAGCAAGTTTTTTTTCATAGTTCCAATTTGGTTTTTTAGAGCCTGATTTTTCAAGGATAGATTTTAAGCATCCCTTGTCTGTTCAAATAACAGTGTTCCATAATTAGTTGACTTTTGACAATTCCTGGATTATATAAGAGGAAAGAGCTTCAGATGGATAGAAACTCTTTTCTTCCTGAGAAATACCTAGAGTTTATCTTTCAAAGCTTATCTCCAGTGGCTTGAACTATTAATTTTATCTTTTTATTTAAACATTTGGTCCTTTTTTGGGAAAGACTATCTAAATTTCCAGAAAATGGTATCATAATTTTTTCTGGACCGCATGATTATTGTCTATTTTGTATGCCTTACTAGTAGAAAACAGTATCTGCCTCCAAGTATAAGTAAAAACAGCTCATTTTCTTGTCATTCTATACTCTGGCTATAACCCTAAGTATTCCTCAGATCTAAGGGACCCCTTAAAATTGTGTTTCGTGAGTACCAGAAAAGAAAAGCCTATTGGTTCTAAGCTCTAAGAAGCAATGTGTATTTAAATGAATAAATCAATTTTCCATGTCCTACTTGATTCAAAATAGCAGTTTCTGTCCTTCAGAAGGGCTGGTGTCTATTCCTCACCCGTTACCGACACGCTGATTTTTGCCGTGTAGGGAGGGCAGCCTCGCCGGAGTGAGCTCTGCCAGGATGTGGGGTCACAAACCTGCCTGGGCATCTTCGTGTGAACGAGTCAGATCATTTACTTATATTGGTGCTTTGGCTTCTGGGTACGAAGCAAGTCAGACAAAATACACAGTCAGCGGCCTCTCCCGACCTTTGACATCTAACATCACGAAATATGAAAATACACGTAAAATCATGCTCCTCGGGATCTGCAACCTGCTGCTTTGTAGTTGGTTATTTTTTTTTTTCCTACATGCTTACCTTTCACCATGAAGTGGGTCAAAAGCTTTGTGAACGGGAAACAACATGTTTTTAGCATTTCTTGTGATGCGATGATCTTAATATAGAGGTTCAGGCACATGTGTTGGATAATCGGGGATCTGGACAGAAAGCTGTATATTGCTTTTGGTATGTCTCTCTTGGCAGAGTAAACATTTTTGTACTCGTCTTTTCATGTAAGAATACTGTGGAACATTGAAACATTTTTACATTGCTGTTTATATGTGGTTTTGAAATTACCTCAGTGGAGGAAACTAGGTATTTCCTGAAAGAGCAAAAGAAAATAAGGCTTCGGGGGGTGATGCACAGCTTGATGGAGGAGTTGTGATCCGCGGCTGGATTTAGGGAGTTTCTTTGTTGTTCCTGCTTCCACTGTTAGGCCGTTGGAGGAACGAGGTACAGAGCAGGAGGGAGGCTGCTCTTGAACTCTTTATGTGGTATTGCAGCTGCAGGTAGAGAAGCAAAAATGGACTTTCTAGAAACTTTAGGTTGTTTGTTTTTATTATAAAAGGAATATGTGCCCAGTGAAGAAAATTGAATGCTGTATGGGGGAAAAAGAACCAAAAACAAAACAATAAAAAAGTACTCCTGCAACCAAACACAACCCTGATTCATATTTTGGTGAATTATATAGATTTTTTTTCCTTATAAATAAGACTTTGCTTCTTTTGCCTTCTTAGTTGATACAGTCTGAGTGCAATTTTATATCTTCTTCATTTAGTTTTATAACGGACATACATTCCACATAGAAATAACTACTTAGAGCCCATCTGGTTCTCTGAGTTTATAAAGAGGCTCAATAGCCTTGTCCATGGTTCTCTCTGAAAATGATTTGCCTTCTGTTACTGCGAGTAGTGTAATAAATGCGGACTCTACTGGATTGTGCTAATTTGTATGAATATCATTTTAAAAGATGCCTTAATTTGCTCCTTTTCAATTCTGGGTCTTTCATAAGATAATCTCAAAATTAGAAAAGTTGAAAACATGAACTACCTCTTTTCAATTTACTTCTCTCTTCTCAACCTCCATCTACCTCTAACCTACATTTTCGAAAATATATGGAGAATATATAATACGTTTCTTGATATTCAATAGCTTTATTTTTACTTGCGTTACTTGTAACAATTTTAGAGATTCTAGTCTGTTAACAGTAACATTTACATAATTAGAACATGCCGGTATTATTGTGCATTACCCCAAGTACTTCAGTATAACAAATTTTTTTGAAAAAGGTTACATGTCTATTCCAAATGCACTATACCTTTCAGGCAATGAATACTAAAAATCTACAATTTTATAACTAGAGTGAAATGCTTGGACCCTATTAACATATAATGCTATCAGACACAAAAGGTAATTAATCGTGTATGTAATAGAGTATTTAATTTGCATAGCCTTTGGCCCAATAGATCCAATTCAGACAGTGTATCCAAATGCAGCTATTACATAAGAACCCAAAGATAAAAATATAAACAAAAGTCATTTAAATGTTTAATAGCCAGTATTATTACAGAGGGCCTCTATGGTAAGCTGTTCGGTCCCTGTTTCCATGCCTTCAGGCCAAGAACTGGCCCTGTGCTCAAGGATGTTCACTGCAGAATGTTTTACCTAAAAGTATCTCAATATAGGAGATGTCTCAAATAAATTATGCCTAGACTATGAAACAGAATACTATGCAGCAATTAAAAATGATGGATATTTTCACTGTAAAAAACATTCATAGTCTGATCAATGTAAACAGAATGAGAGAAAACACAGTTTACATAGTACTCAGTTTTTACTTTAAAATTAGACATGTGGCATGTATGTTTGGGTAGTAAGATTATGGAAGATATTTACTTTTCTTACTGTCTTCACGTTTTATGACAAGAACATGTTACTTTTAAAATTAGGAAAAAATCCTTTATCTTTTGAAGGAAAAAATCTGTTGTAAAAGCTTGGCAATGGTTGGAGAGAAGAATGTTGAAATATTTATTATTAATAAAAGGGAAATGCTAAAAGGCCTCCAGCAACTTTCAGAGGGCAAAAAGGGTCCACCTATTGAGTATTAAGTCTTTAAATATCCAGAAATGTATTTTAATTGGAAACCTGCTTAGAAACCATAACCTAAATAAAAGTGGCTCCAGTCCCTTAAATTATAAGCGTTATAATCCATAGCTAATGCTGAAAGAGAGTCATCTAATTAGCCCCACTCAGAATGCTTCCGTGGTAAACCAATTCTTCATGGCATAGCACCGATTTTTTTATTAAATAGTTTTTCAGGGGATCTACTTTATTTGCTTTCTAGCATCCTTAATTTGTGCAAGGATTGGATGCTGTTCACTTAAAAATCTGTGTTGGTATAGCCGTAATTGAATGTTTAAAGAAACGCAAAGCTTCCCACGAGAAGCGTTTTTCACAGCGTTGCCATCCGCCTGTGGAACTGCAGGAACCAGGTTTGCAACTTCGATGACTCTGCCGGGTCCCCGAGGACCGACGGGCCGTTCCTCAGACAGGTGTTCTGTGAAACCGCATCTGTGATCAAAACGCCTTGTTGGACAGGCTGGCCAGCTTAGACATCCGTTCTTCTGGCTTAGGATAATGAAGAGTGACGGCGGCAGATCGCACTGCCTCCGTCTCTCCAGCCCGGGGCCCTGCTCCCATCCCTGATGGAGGGCAGCTGCCGTGGCAAGCCCACGGCCGGCTGGAATCTATACGTGGGGTGTCTGTGGCCAGAAGAACTTCGGCATTGACTTCTGTTCAGTCCGGAACAATCCCAGACACCTCTTAAGGGGCAGCTGTAATCAGCATTCACCCTAGAACACTAGCAGAGGGGGCATCCTAAGATGGGCACACGTGGGTGTAAACGTCTGGGAAGGCATTTATTTCAGATCGTCTCTCCGCGTATCGCAGTGCAGGAAGGAGAAACGTGGCCGGCGCGGAGATGGCCGTGGGTGGAGTAGAGTTGGCTGGATGGCTGTCCCGAGGAGGTCAGCCCGCTGTTCGTGTTGACCCGGCCCACGGTGGACAGGGGGCTGAGATTGTTGCTGGTGGCCTTAGGGGCGGTGCAGGCCCACGGCTTCCTCAGCCGTGCCGATGAAGACGTAAAAAGTGCGCCGATCACATTTCCTGGCAACGCGAAACTGGGCGGATCACTGTGCTCGGCACGGCACGGTCTGGATTATGAAGATTTCTGCAGTTTGGATCAATGGGCCAAAGCTAACAAGATGAGATTTAATGGGGATAAATGTAAAATCCTATGCTTGGGTTAACACAAAGATAAATGTTGCAAGTGCAGAGGAAGTCTGCTCGCCGTTCTCGTGACTGAGACCTGCAAACTCGAGAGGAGGTCCTGAGGCAGTGCAGCTGCTGGGAAGGTGACTGCCACCTGATGAGGGGGGAGGGGGGCGGGGACAGGTGGGGGTCCTAGACCGGGCCTAGGGAGTGTCATTCTTCTGCTGTGCGGTGACCCTGGCCAGGCCACGGCCAGAGCCCTGCACGCTGTGCTGTGCCGAGCCCCACGTCTGAGAGCCACCTGCCACTTTGTTCTTCTTTCCTCTCCCACTGACCAAGGACGTCCTTGAGGTCAGGCGCGGGGTCTGAACATCCTCCCCCACACAGCCTGGCTTGTCACAGCACTCGGTACGCGCCTCTCAAATGAGTGAATGATGCAACCTGGGCAAGCCGGCCCCGGCCAGAAGTGAGTCACCAGGAGGTTGAAGGTCGGTCCCGAGTGATGCAAGAAGCAATTCAGGGAGAAAGCTCTCTGGCTAGGACACAGGGTCAGGAGTTAGGAGTGGCACCGGCTTTGACAAACCCAGCCGAGCTGCGGACATTCTCCCATTTTCTCATCGGCAAAGTGGAC